GGGGGGGGGGGGGGGGGGGGGGGTGTTGAGGCATTCCGGGCAACTCCCATTCCGATTTCGGTCTGCAAATACGTACGTTGAGAAATTCTCATTGGCCAGCCAAGTCGCCCAGTCCATGCTACATACAGGCACACACACGATCACATATGATGCCTGACATTGGTCAGTTGGTTATCGCGGTCGATGCTAACAACGAACACACACACATTGAATTAACTGTCCCCGTTCGCCTTCTGTATCCCGAAGCAAAGATTGGCATATTTTCATTGGTCAGCCGGTTAGTAACGCGGTCCACGCGAAAAAAAAAAAAAACGCACGCACGCACGCACGCACACACACACACACCTGTTCTCGGTTGCGGGAGATCTCGATCCCCCAATACCCCTTACGCTCGTTGGCCACCTCCTGCAGCGGCTCTACGAAAGAGCCCGTCAAGAACATGACCTTGCTAGGGTACACGTCCGCCTCGTGGTGGTAGTAGTAGATGCAGTTACCCACAAGCACGTACCTTTAACGTTACGTTTCGTCGAAACAGAACGGGGTGAGGCGGGGCGGGGGCGTATACTCATGTTTCGCATGCCATATTCGTTAGACCCGACCGATGACCGCGTGTCCTCGAGCGGACGAAGCACTGTTCCCATGGGGTAGGGGTATGTGGTAAGACTAGCGCACTTGCGTCACCCCCAAAACCAACAACGACAACGATAGCTCTTGCTCACCACGCTTGATGCAACAACCCCTTCATCAGCGGAAAGCAGGCTTTCCCGGTATATATCCGCTTTCTAGGGACACGAGGGTTTATGCCTGCTACTACAGCTACGTACGAACAACCAACCGTGAGCCGCCCCCTCCCACTCTCTCTCTCTCTCTCTCTCTCTCTCTCTCTCTCTCCTTCAAAGGGTCTGTGTGAGCGGCGGTGGTGCCAGGTTTTCAAGCGGTATCCCTGCTTCCACAGGAAGCCCTGCTTCGCCACGGTCTGGTTCTGCATCACCTTCGCCGAGCGAGGGCTCAGCTCGCTCAGCAGGACGCTGGGCGCGTTTCCCGTCACCCCCTTGCGGCCGCTGTTCACCGGAGGGCCGTCGCCGTGCTGAGAATGGGCTGCGAATGAAGAAGAGAGAAACAGCGATGCGAGCAGACCGGGGGCGGGGGGGGGGGGAGTACCCATGATCTGCATGCCTTATGATCTGCATGCCTTAGTGACTACACCATTGACCACGCGTCCTGGAGATGAAAGAGCATTGGTCCCACCAGCGATGACAAAGCGTTCCTTCCTACTTTTTGCCACGAAGGTGGCTGAAAAATGTCATCCCCATCCATCTATGTGATCGATATCACTCCCCGCCTCTTGAGCCCACGTCCTATGCCCCAGTATAGGTGCCATCTTCTCGTGGCTTGTATTCCATGCCTCAAAACATCCCTCTGAGGGGGGGCGGGTATCGGTCACCGCACGTGTGACTTTAGGGAAGAATGCCTGCACGAACATACGGATGGGATAGGCACCGACTACGTGCGGTACAGAAGCGCATGGCCGCCGGGTATCCTTTTCGGGTCCCACACAGTAACAGGTGTGACGCGTGACAACTTCCGCACACCACCCATGTTGCAAGTCCCACAAAAAGCAAGAAAAAAATTACAAAGGGGCTCCGCGAGAATCGATGGTACCTCGCGTAAGCCCCCATGGTGGGTCGCCAGGCACACCATCTGGTGCAGACCTTTGTCACTGCTGGTACTCCTCACACAGATAGCTACGTGCCATGACTCTTGCAGGATACCTCAAGCATGTTTCTACACGAGCAAGCACTTGGTCTGGCCTGTTTTCGCTATGATCCTGGCAAATGCCATGCTATCGAAAGTGAAAGAGCTGCTGCTTCAAGCCCGTTCCGCAGCTCTCAGATCCATACTTCACGCTGCTAGACCCGGGCGAAGGAGATGACGGACTCGCTCGAGACTTCGCCCGAGTGGATAACAAAGGCATAGGTAACATTGAGGGGTCGGCGAAATTCGGGATCGCCACCACGAGGGTCGTTCCAGTGAACTCTATCGCCTATATGTCGACCAAACACGCCCCACACGTCTACCCCCAATGGTGTTGGAACTCTCTGGCACGTTCCTCCGCAATTTGACCTTTAAAGCTCTAGACCCGCTCAAAAAACGATCTCGTCCTAATTTTTTATGGCACCACGCTGTAGAGACAACATCATACGGGGTGCTACGAGGCATACCACACAGGATAACACCCACCACATTCCCGGCAAGAAAAATGCTGCAGATCAACACGTACAAAGACAGAAAAGCGAAAAATGCTCCCAGAAAAGACGCAAAGGTCACCGGCAATACCGCAGTAGTTCCCACGTACTCAACCTTCACTCACCGTCTGGTGAAGCCGTCCCGTTCATAGACCCCATGGACGCAACTGCAGGGAGCCCTCCCCCTCCCACGGCCGACCCCGCCACCTGCGAAGGGTGGTCGACGAAAAAGAACAATGTTCGACGTCGAAAAAAGAAGCAGGGCGTTCTTGACGTGTTGATCTCTTTGCTTATGAAAACGGCGTCCACGTTTGTCTATTCGCCAGATTATTTCTTTCCCGCCAGTCCGACGTTTCTCCCCCCCCGGTGTTTGCCATCGGGGTTGGTTTTCGTCGCTTGGCAACAACGTTGTAAAACATGCCGATCACTTCGTGAGCTCGGCAACCAGGTTACCGATTTTTTTTTTTTCCTCTGTTTTTTTTTATTGCGGTAACCATAGGGTGGTCAAGTAGATTATGTTGTTCGGGGTCGAGAACCCTCACTCCGCGCGGAGGGGATGATTGCACCACGTTTGTGTAAAAATGGTCAAGCACCCTCGAGGCAATTTCACAGTGCTTATAACTGTCTCTGGAAGTGAAAGCACCAGAAAAATAAATTAAGTTATACGCAGCTGCCATCCGTATGCAAGAAAGTAAGCACAAATGCCGAACAAACAGATGTAGCGCACCCTTCATGCGACTCGCCGAATACCTCAACGCGCTTCACGCTTTGTGATGTGAGAGCCTGGTCCGGTGAGAACCCGGCGTGCTCCGCCCCGGCTTTGTAGAGATGCGAGTTCAATGGCCAAACGACTACGGCATGCACGACTACGAGTACACCCCCCCCCCCCCCTTCCGTCGTTGCCTACTCCGTCAGAACCAGGGCATGCAGTAGATACACACGAATGATCTAAAACTATAGTCGATACCACGATGCGTAAAAAAAAACGAAAACAATGAAAAAGTTGAGAAAAAAGAACAAAAATACACAGGCAGGGGAGGAAACGCAAACACGTTCACTCACCTGTTCGATTAGACGGTCGATGCTTTCCCGCAAAGCCTCGTTGCGGGTCGTGTTTCGAGCCCTTCGGGTGAAACAAAAACAACAAACAACGAGGCGAAAAGAAAAAAAAAGAGGAGCGCGATTGAGTCAAGCCATGGGTGGGATCGGGCAACCGATCGAGCCGCGGAAAAAACAAAACGTACGACGTGGAATGTGAAACAAGACACACATGGACGGAGCGGAAGCTACCCGACAGAAAAAAAGAAAATACTCTTAAGCGGGAAACGGAGGCAGAGTTCTACAGAGAGAAATAGAGGGAGACAGGCAAATCGACCACGATCGGCACAAGGGAGACCGCCGGGCATACGTGGAACGCGACACATGAATCCCCAAGCGCTGGACCAACAAGGTACCGCCTTGCCCAATTCTTATGAACCATCAAGCACAACACGTCCCCCCCCCCCCCGCCCCCCTCTTTCTCTCCCTCCCTCCCTCTCTAGAACTTGAGCACCGATCGCATCATGTCGGCTCACTTCACAAGGAGGCGCCGAGTCTCATGTTCGGGGCTCTCGGGGTCTCCTCCTCCTGCTCCTCCTCCAACGCTCGGCTCGCTTCGCATCGGGCTTGCGGTAAACTTCTCCAGGGGGCATGGTGGACAACATCAGGGAGACGAAAGACGCGAAAAACACAAAATGGGGAGCGGGCGCGATAGACCAAGGGTAAACAAAAAAATAAGATCTGGACCCCTTTCCTTACCTGGCCGAAAAAAAAATAATACAAGACAGGAGTTTGGAAGCCGTATAACGTCAGCAAATTAGCAAGGTGTGGTTCAAACGACACGTCGTATATCTGAACCATCGTGCGGTCGTTGCTGTTGTTCATCGAAAAGCATATTAACTTCATCACGCAAAAACCAAAAACGTGTACGTACGGCACATACCTTAGACACAGTCGCCTAGTATATACCGCTAATAATCAAGACGAAGGATACACCACACTAGCTGCTCACGAAATCACGGCTTTGCAATAATCTTCGTACAGATAAGGAGCCCGAAGGAATGGGGGATGAACAGTTGATGAGTGAGTGTCGACTTCTTTGGCTTCTTGGAGTCTTGGTGGCGACTTCTGTACGAAGATTATTGCAAAGCCGTGATTTCGTGAGCAACTAGTGTTCGGCCTGTTTCGTTTCCAATTCTGTGTGCCGATTTCGACAGTGACGTTAGATGACTTGTCGGAGATTTACTGTACGCGCCTAAGGGGTACAGTAGTCAGTGGATACGCTGAACCCGCGTGCAACTTCAGCGAGTCGGGGTGAGTTCACACGACCCGTTCCGTACATATCTTTAACTTCTCTCGTGAGGGCTTGAACCTGGTGTGTCTCCACCCCACACATAAAAGTGACATTCACTCATTGGTAAGGGAGAAACAAAAAAACATGGCGGTCAACTTGACAGGCGCGTATGCATAAGTGCAAATAGAGACGCCGTTTTCAGCTCCGGGTTGCCGGGGAAAAAATAAATAAAAAAAAATCCACACACAGCGCAAAGGGACCAATACGTACACGGTCTCTCACGTCTCGGTTGTGAATGAAAGGCAGGTGCTTCCGGTCGTCCCCCCACTCTCTGTGCTCGTCGTAAGGGAAGACAGACTGCAGGAACTGGGTCACGATAGGGTTACGCTCCACCCACAAGCGGAACTGTCATCAACATCGACAGCGAGAGCGCGCGCGCAAGAGAGAGAGAGAGAGAGCACCACAGTACAGGTGCCATGAGAACGCACCAGTGAAAAAAAAAAATGCATATGACGCAGGCATGTTGGTGGCGGCGAAACGGCAATAAAAATGCGGCGAAATAGAAATTCTAACAAGACTCGGCGAAACAAACAAGAACAAAAAATGTTACCGAGACTGTGTGTGGGCCACACACCGCTCTCGGGGTGTTTCGTCTTCAATTTCGAACTCCTGACATACTTGCGGAGATCAGGCGGCTGCATGGCGAGATCATTACGTATTTAAAAAAAAAAAAAAACACACACACGCACACACGTTCGCGCTATTGTTTCTCCGTCCACAAGACTAGCGTAATTTCCTTGGCCAGCCTGTTAGCACGGTCGAAGTTAATGCACTAAATTGACACACACAGAGAGACAGACACACGGGCACACCTCGGGAAAGCTGAGCTTCCCGGTTTGGTTGAGGTCGCACTCTTCGAAAGCCTTTGAGAGACAGAGTAGACAGAGGGCAAGAGAAGGAGGATTTGCAGCAAAGTAAACAAAGGGAGGGAGAAGAGGGGAGAGAAATAAAGAGAGCGACAGAGACAGACACACAAGACATAGACAGGCAGACAGGAGAAAGACATCGGAAGGACAAGAGGAAGAGCAGGAACGAGAGATTCACATGCAGGACGGAGAGACACGAGACGGAGAGGTCAAAATATAACACCACCAAAACGAGCTGGCAGTGCGCCCTGGCTTTGGGCCGACCCACTAGTCGCCGCTTCGCTCTTGTGCGACCAACACTAAAGGGGACAACGAAAAACACGTGTTTATCACAACCAAAAACTCCGGCCAATAAAGGGTAGGGAGGTGACCCACCTGGTATCGGTGTTGAGTGAACACGCGCGGAATACATGGAAGCACAGAGGTCAAACGAAGGCCAGGAAGGGCACAAAACAAAAAAAAGCTGGTGGAAACAGGAGGCGGAACAGATTCTATCGGATCGGGCTGTTCGTGCAATATTAGCCGTCATGCCTATACTGGGCAACACGGCACAGCCCTTAGATTTGCGTGCCATCCCCTCTTGGTGACACTGCCACAAAACGGGCACATGCGCTCCCTGAGGCGGCGCGCCACACAAAACTCACGCACCACCGGTGTTCCCGGCAACCTATGGTAGAAAACCCTCGCAACGACCTATGGACAGATAGATGGATTGTCCATGCCATCAGTACTCTGTTCCTAGACGGGCTGACGGCCAAGCTTCAGTAATTAAGCACGGAATTCTGTCACTAGATCCATAGAGAGAGTGACACATCCACAGATCAACGTGGCGTGCGACACAGCAGCGGTGACCAACTACCCCCACCACGCTCTACAGCTATACGCGCAGCCGTGCAGGCGAGGCGAACCCCCCCCATACCTGATCAACAATGTCGTTGTTGGTGAAGATTTCCCAGTGCGGGTGGTGCTGCGCGGCGGCGAAGCTAGCCCCGCCTTCCGTCGAAGAGTCCGACCGAGCAGTCCCGCGCCGGCTCCTGCCACTGCTCTCCCCTTCGCCCCCAGCACTCCCTGCCTTCAGTTCGGTCGCGTGGGCAGCAGCGCCAACAACCGCACCTGCCGCCGCGCCTTCACCGCCCACGCTCTCCGGCGCCACTCCCGCGGGTGGCGGCTCTCTACCCTCCGCACGGGGTCGCAAGGCCGACCCTCTCGCCCGTTCCTTAGAGACCGCCGCCGCCGCCGCCGCAGCCGCCAGAGCAGCCGCAGCCGCCGGAGCCGCCGGAGCCGCCGAAAGCGCCGAAGGCGCCTCGGCCGCCGTGCGGCCTTCGTCATCGGTCGCTGCCGTTACAGCGCCGTCCCCACCATTGTTGCCGTCTTCCATCGCCAACACCGGCGGCGAGGAGACCCCGTTCCTATTACCGCTACCGCTGCTGCCGCTGCTGCGGCTGCGGATGTCCGCCTCCTTCTCCCCCCTAGGGAATGAAACACTACTGACCCCCCCACCCCGTACCGCTACCCACGACCCCGGGGTCGCCGAAGCGGCGACGACGGCCGCCGCCGCCGCCGCTACCCCTTCCCCTGTACCACTCCCGGCCACCTCTTCGGCATCGGTTTTCACCGCCGCCTCTTCGTCTGAACTATTAGCGGCCGCCGCCGCCCCCGCCGTTTTCACCGCCTCTGTCACTTCATCCGTACTATTTGCGGCCGCGGCGGAGGCGGCGGCCGCCGCTAACGCCTCCAACGCCGCCGATACTTCGGCGGTAACTCCCTCTTCGGCGGTAACCCTCTCTGCTGTGGCGGTAACCCGCTCTACTTTGGCGACAACCCCCTCTGCTTCGGCGGTAGCCCCCTTTTCTGCAGAAGCAGCAGCAGCAGCAGCAGCAGCAGCAGCAGCATCATCGCCGCTGCCGCTGCCGCTGCCGCTGCCGCTGCCGCTGCCGCTGCCGCTGCCGCCGTCGCCAAAGCTACCCCTCTCGGCATCCGTAGCAGCTCCGCCCCCCGTCACCGATGGCGGCCGAGCAACGCCATCTTCCCGTTCACTACCCGCGTTCGACGACAGCGACGCGTGAAGCTGCATCAGGTTCCCGCACGTCAACAACGGAGCAGGAGGCGACGAGCCCGCCGCTCCTCCGCCTTCCTCTTCCCCCCCGGCGCCCCCGGCCCCCGGCACCGCCGCCACTACCCCGCCGGCGGCGGCGATGGAAGAACTACCACTACCACCAGCAACAATGGGAACAGCAGCGGGAGCAACAACATCTAACCCACCGCCACCACCGATCGCCGCGGGCGGCGACGACGCCCGTAAGTGGTCTGGGGAACAACGCCCCGCCGAAAACGCGGAGGATACCGTCCCCGCGCTGGATGGTGGGGGGTGCCGCTGCGGGCGCCCGGCGTGGTGGGTCGGGTGGGGGTGATGGGCGGCCGGGTGTTGGTGCTCAACGGCAGCGGAAGCGCACACCGGCGCGAGCGAGCGGCGTGGCTGCTCTCGGTGAGGGGGGTGGGGGTGGGGGTGGTGGTTGCCGCCATGGCTCTGGGTGTGATGATGGTGGTGGTGGTGGTGATGGTTGGCCTCGGCTGCCGTGGCGTCGAGGGCAACCGCCCGTCCGAAGCGCATGATCGACTTGGGCACGTGGTTCAGGAGGGCGGCGAGCTCGTCCCGATTGACGGCGCCCTGCCCGTGGATGTCGTAAAGGTTGAAGATGAACTCCACCTTCTCCTCCCAGCTCCCCCGGCAGGTTACCGCCAACCCGCAGACGAACTCCTCGTAGTCGATCTCCCCCGAGGACTTCTTGTCGAACACAGCGAATAGACGCTCTGCTCTCGCCCCGTCGCCCGCGACACATCAATGCGGGTGGATTGCAACAGCGTAAAAGTTGCCGGTAGTCGTGTCACCAACGTCCATCGAAGGCACGGGGAGCGACCAGCAAAGGTTACGGGGAAGAGACCGCGTCAGCCGGACATAGCAGAGCAGCCAAGCGCCGGGAGCGGTTGTGTGTTGGGCAAACAATGCGTGTGAACGCAAACATCTGAAAGAAAGGGAACCATGTCAGCAAAAAAATAAGCAGGCATATGGGTCAACTGGACACGGCTCCAAGTACAGACATGGTCATGCTCCATCCAACCCGGCTGCAGCACTGAGACAGTTAGGCCAAAGTGTACCACCCATGCCTCTGCTGTGGCATGTCTTCACCGACCAAGTCCCTCACCTCCCAGAAGACCGGGCAGCGGAAGGTATTGCAGGAAGGTCTCCTTGTCGATCCGCATCGAGCCGCCATTGACGTGGCAGAGGTCCTTAAAGGTCTCCTTGATTACCTTTATCTCGCACTCGTCGACTGCCAAAGCACGAGGAGACGAACACGGCGGTACCACAAGGCACGAAAACGGACATCGTCGTCATACACAAGATGTCACAATATAAATTCGACCAAAAATTCAACAGCTGCGGCTCGTGTGGGGTGTTTACACAGCAGACAGGCCCAAGAAAAATACTATCACCAGCAGCAACAGCAGCAGCAGCAACAGCAAAAAAAAAGTGTCCCAAAAGATTCAAGGACACGGCGGAGTTGCCATGCCTCGTGAGCCTCGTCAACAGAGAAACGGGTACCGGTTGTACCTGGAGGATGGCATATTGAGTATACGAGCGTCCACCATAGTCACACGCCAGACCTACAACCGCATCGACTGCTGTACAACAGTTACAAGGACAAAGAAGTGACGAACGCCGGCAGGGCCACTGAAGCGGACAGGCCGAGACGCATTTGGGCAATAACGGCGTCGTGTTCGCACACATGATACATGTTCGTGGCTTGTGTTTGCGCACGTGATACATGTTGGTCGTCGCGGTTTCGTGTCCGCACAAATGGTCGTAGCAAAAGAGCTTGTACTCGAGAGGAGGGAAGGACCACCGACACGTGCCCAAAACACGCCGGTGGAGAGGGGCCATGCTTGATCATGACTTCGTCGTCAGCAGAGTAAGAGAGCTATCCACCATCGTCCGTTCGCGCCCGAAACGTCCGGAATCGGCATCTCGGGCGGCATGCCGAGGCTCATCTTGCTGACAACGGTAAAGCCCAAAAAGGATGAACATGTGCCATGATACAGAGATCATGTGCCATGATACAGAGATGCAACAGCTCAGGAGGCAACACCGGCGAGACTATGCCTTCGGCCTCGAAACATCTGAAACCGGCATCTCGGGTGGTATGCCGAGAGATGCTTGCTGCATCGCTGTTGACGAGCACATCGTTCGCGCCCAGTTGACTTCGGACCTGATTGGTAAGCATGGTAAATGCGAGTAGACAGGGTAGACAGGGGGTGCCAGGCCCCAAAAGAGACCACGAGGAGAAATACGGTTCTAACCAGTGACTGTGCGTGGTGCTACTGTAGTACTCGTGATGCTACTTTTTCGAGAGGGAGAGAGAGAGAGAGAGAGGCACGAATAGAAAAAGAGAGAGGGAGAGGAAGCTGTACATACACACATGGGTTTGAGGAAAGGGAGGCGGAGCTCATGGACGCGGCGACTGCTGCAGACTTGGATGTATGGTCGCAGACGACAACATCAACGGTTCAATACCGAAGATCTGACCGCACGACCACATATCTCACTCGCCCGCGCGCCCGGAGTCGTTTTACCGCACAGACCTGGTACGATTTCCGTTCGTGTGTAAGCCACCCGCTGCTCCCACATCCCTAAAACCGGCCTTCTTGCGGTGGAATGTAGAGCGCGGCCGTCAATCTTAATGTTTCCATGCCGTCAGATTCTCATAACGCTAACGACAAGACACAGACTTAACACGGACGAAAAAGCAGACGCCAGGTGCAAACAACAGGCAACGTCGCAAACGAGAGCGTCGGGAACATCAAAACCCAAACACATATGAGCTACACCGATGCTGCCAGTCACCGGAGGTGACAGGTGAAAGATAAAGGGGTTCAAGCTCACAAACCGCGCTCCAAACTCAACAAGGGCGGCAACGACAGCAAAACCGGATTATGGTGGTTTCATGCCGGGGCAAGTTCAAAAAATCCCCAGACATTCCCCTTGGCCCCAACGCACACAGCGAACAGTTTTGTTTTGTTAACGCGGCGGTCCACTGCGATCTGGTCTCTAGAGTCGGCTTTCGCCGTTTCTCGGCAGTGTGCCTTGACCCTTGACGCATTCTCGTGCATGCAATAACACCCCCCTTACAAGACCAGTCGGTCTTCCGAAACACAATCTTGGCGCTCGCCACACCAAGCCTTATTCCATCGCACCAAGACCAGACGCAAGCAGTGGGGTTGGGTGCGCCACATTCTCCGCAGAACCACTACAGTTGTCGGCTTGCCACCGAACGCCAGCTGTTCCCACACCGCGGACGGTGTTCAATAGACTCGCGGGGAGGGAATAACGCTCGACCTCCGTAGGTGATGGAAGATACCGTAAGAGGCGGAGAGATGGCACCCCCCCTAGAACGACTTTCAAAGTTCCATGGTTCCACAACCAAGATTGTCTGTACCGTACCGTATACCGTACCGTGGTATTCCGTAAGAGTCGGAGAGATGGCACCCCCCCTAGAGCGACTTTCAAAGCTCCATTGCTCCACAACCAAACTTGTGCCAACACCAAGGATCTTCGTTCCGGAAACATCTAGTCGAAGGGCCTTTCCGTAGACGGATCGGGCTCTTTCCGCACCCCTTTGGTTTTGGAGCAATCGTCCTTTCAAAGTCTCTCTTTAGGGGGGTGCCATCTCTCCGTCTCTTACGGTAGGCATGGAGCTCGGCTCTGCTGCAGACGGTGTTTCTTGTACTTCAAAACTCTCCAAGGATATTTCCAAGCATTATCCGACGGACATGGTTTACCGTGCTCCACCCTACTGGTTGTTTTTCGCCTGGCATTTGTAGGCGTACGTATCACAAGCATGCCGAAGCCGCCGGCCGCGAATCATTCCCCCAGCTGTCTCTGCGCCTCCGTCGCTCACGCCTCGTGACACAACAATGTGCTACAAAGCAGCAGCGGCTTGATACGAGCGAGAACCCGTACACCCAGGGACTCCTCTGTTGAACTCACAATGTTCAACAGCGGCCGCTGAACCTCACCGCCGGACCGGAACATCCACGGCGAACGTCGGAATGTGTGAACGTGTTTCGTTGACAGACATCGACCGCGCTAACCGGGGAGCACGTGCGCGCACCTATCAAAAGTGTGGGCCACGCTTGGGGTCTGCCCCTGTCGGACATGATTGGTCGAGCTTCGCGTCAGGGATGAACACTTGACAGTGCTCACACTACCAAGCCCTGTCTTGCGTTCGAGGAGGTGAAAAAAGCGGTCCTCCTGCCGGTGTGCCGGTGAAAATATTGTTACCGCGCCGCAACGATAAAACGGAGAGGCGGGAGATATTCTTAACCCACCGTAACGATAAAATGAGATAGTGCAGCAGACGCATCGCGAAAACCCGTTCGTTCTAAGAGGGGGGGGCGGGCGCCGGCAGGGGGTCACTCCGCGTTTCAAGGCAGGCGATCGCTGGCACTTTTGTTTAAGCAGGTGGTCCTGGTTACTCCCGGCCTACACAACAGCGTCGGTTCAGGACGACGTTTTGAAGATTGCACCGCGCCCTTAGACAGGCGCCATACTTGCATTTCCCGGAAACGGAGAGAGAAGCCTTTACGGAACCCATCTCTGCTGTGTCTGTCTCCGCGGCGGAAGAGTTTCTCCGGCATTTGCTATGGATATCTGCGACACGCCGTTCTTGACTGGTTGGATATTTCTTTCAACCAACGCATCGCGCATCGCGGTGTACTGGGAAGGGAAGGGCGGGGCAAAAGCAGCAAGCCCCCGATTTATACGTATCTTCATGTCTTCCATTTCCGCGAAGAAGACAACGGACAAGAACGCCAGCACACAAACATGGAACATTTCATCATCATCGTTAACGTCAACAGCGACAAAAAGAGTGCAGATTTTCGAGCTGCACAAAGCAGCAGCGCAGCAGCGACGGCAGCGCCACAACTTTTTCTGTTTTTTTAACACCTTTGGAACCCTGCTGAAAGAACTTGAACACAAGAGTAGGTTACAGGGTCACGACCTACAACATTATAGTAACCCGGTTGGTGCTGGGATCCCCGACAAATAATTGAGATTCGAGTCTCTGACCCAGAAAGACCCAAGGAAATTGGTGCATTCTTCATGTAGCCGTCCGTGGCCGCGGCCCTTTCGTACTGACTTCAGACTAGCGGGTGCACCCGGGCTAAAGAAGTGGCCAAGGTTGAAGGGCAATGGGGACGCGGCCGAATGTAGCAGATACCACTGCTTATACTACAAGGTACTTGGAGCAAGAGTTGAACCGTGTCTATTTCTTGGCCCACAATGATGTGTGGTAAATCCATCTGCTCTCAGAGCGTGCCGTGCGTTTCGATTGGAGTGTCTGGCTTTCAGGGCTAGAACAGCAACCCGATCTTCCCCTGTCTGGAGAGTACGGCAGTCTGGTGCAACTACAGCAGCAGCACAGCCTGGTATTCTGTTTGCATGTAACAACAACACCCCCCTGCACAATGCTGTTCTTTCAAAAAAAGTGCCGCCATTGGTAAGAAATACCTGGTAGTCTCTCTACAAGCAGAGGAGAGAGCGAAACAAAGGGACCGACGACACACACAAAACACCACGCCCAGAGAACGCGGCAGGACAGCGTCCACCAAACCCGAACAATACGCCCCGAGGCCCTCACATCTTTCCGCCGCCCGCCTGGCCTCGCTCGCGAGCTCGAAGTTGCTGTTGCTCTGCCCCATCGCGCTCCCTTCGGTCTCTCGTGAGTGATAGCGTCAACCACAAGCTCCCCGAAAACGTGGCGCCGTGCCGCCAGCAGCTTGATCTCAAGAGCAGCGGGGCCTAGGACGGCCTCAGAGCCTCTCCACCCACGACCAGGCTGAGCCTTCGAGCTGACGGCTCTCCAGTGCGATGCCTCCTCCCAACCGAGCGCAGGAGCACACCCACAAGTCCTATCTCCTCTCTCTTAATTGTCGCGTGTAGCCGTGCTTGGCTTGGAGGGGAAAAAACGCTCACACAAACCAACACCCTTCGACTCTGGTCTTCCGAGGCTCTTCCGATTGTACCCAGTTTGCTGGCCAAACTCCTTGCGTAGCAACCCGTGCTAGGAGGTGAGCTATCCGACGCCCAGCTATCGGCGCCAATCAACCCAAAGCAGCGACTGCTTTGGGTTGCCAACAAACACACAAGAGCTGCTGGGTGAAGACAGAGCCCTGCCTGTCTTCGGGGCTATCCTGCACGAAACGCGGGGGCGACGCAATGTATGCCGAACCGTTTGCTGGGGGGGGAGGTTGCGTCAGCGCTGCTGCACACACGTTTTGTTTTGGTCAGGTTGTCAGGTTGTTCCGCCGATGATACATGAGCTGACACACAGACGCCACACCTCTCTAATCGCGTGTGCTCACCGTTGTACTTCACCACGCGAAGGCGTCGTCCGCAAGGCTCACAAAGGTAAGCCGTCGGAGGGGAGTTTCACGACTCAGCGATGCGCGTGCTTTAGTCGAAGAGAGGATGCGGCCAAGAAGTGAAATATTTTCATCGAAACGATCATCATCATGTCATATTATCTGCATGTCACGACGCGTATGCATGCGTGCCTGTGATGCAATGTTCGGTAATATGGCACGAGGAAGGAGAAACAGGCACACCAATCAGCACCCCGCCAGCAGCACGTTAGAAGCCCGTGCAAGTTCAGTCTCGTTCTGTCGTCAGGGAAGGCACACGAGCTCTTACAAGTACATTTTTTTTCAAATTTCGGCGGTGGCTGCGCTGCTGGTGCAATCTGCTTGCTTAAAAACTCGGTGTTGCGAGCGGGCTGTTGCACCAGCGACCAGCGAGCTTGCAGTGGATCGGGATCACCGTGTGTGGCATCTCTCCGCGGGTTGCCGTAGGTCGGGGGTGCTCACAGCGTTGCTATGCGTTCTGGCGGCCCAGCCCTCCTCACGTAGTGTGTGTTGTATACAGCTGCATTTTGTTACAGTAGACTCTATTCAGTACGGAAGCTGCAGTAGTGGCTGGCAAGGGGTAAGCAAATGATATAGGCGGTCTGCACTGCTGTATATTTCCCATCTCATCGCCATCTACAACAGGCGACCTTCCGCACGTCTCAAGACCAGTCGTCTGACGGGGCTCATGTCTGCAGGCAATGAACCTCAGCGCATGCGTCTCCGATACAGCGAAATCTATCTCCCCAAGATTCTCACGAGGGTGCATGCGGAGGATCTGCCTAGTCAGAACTCGACGTCCGTAGATCCTCGACTTGGTCGATACTCGACTGCTGTGAATCGTTGCCAAGAGTTATACCCACGTCCCAGCAGTTCTCACTGCAACCAACTTGCGTCCTACATATCCAGTGAAAAGAAGAGGAACACACACCAAGCAATCTAGTTTTTTTTTTTGGTTCGATATCCCCCCCCGCCTCGTCTACATACATCAAGGCTACAGACCGTCTGCGAAGAAGCTAAAACGGACAACAGGGAGGGGAGACACAGACCATTACTATTCCCTAACCCTAACCCTAACCCCACTTCCCCGATTGTGTGCTTTATCCATCATGATTACATCAACCGAAAACCCTACGAAGGCAACTGGTCGCTACACACCCTCCCATAATCCCCCCCCCCCCCCTCCCCTCCAGCAGGTTAACAACACTCAACAACTTGCCGCCAGGGACAACGACCACCACCACCACTACCATGTCTCTCAGTTCATCGTCTTCCGCGGCGGCTACTCTAGCCTACGCCGCACCGGCCTTCCTGGCCCCCGCAAACCTTAAGACCTCCCGGCGACAGCAAGGTGGCGGCTGGGGGTCGCGCTCGTCGTCCCTCTCCGCCCGCCGCCCGCGCTGGGCCCTTAGCATGTCAGCCGAGGGGGGAGCGGACACGGAGGCGGAGGCGTCGACGGCGGAGGTCCCCGAGGCGACCAAGCGGCTGCTCGAGCAGGCCGCCAAGATCCGCGCCGAGGTGAGAGAGCGCGACCGCGCGAGCTCTGTTTATTCATTACAACTTTATTAACTGACTCTCTCAGAGATGTTTACGTAGTTAGGAGTACAACAGCAGTACCGGGCTCTCCCAGTACTGTCGGCAAGGTAAGAGAGAGCGCGCACGGCCTCTATTTTTCGTGCAGCAGTACTGGGCTCTCTCGGTAGCGTCGGCGAGATAGTGCGCGCACGGCTTCAACTCTCCATCTAGCACAGCAGGTACGTCGATTAATACCATGATATACCGTAAAAGGCGGAGAGATGACACGTCCGCAAGACCGACTTTCAAGGCTCTGTTTGCCCCCCAACCAAGGGGGGCTTTCAAAGCTCTGTTTGCCCCACAACCAAAAGGGGTGCGAAAATAGCCCCATATTGACACGGCAAGCCCGTCGACGAGACGTTTCCAAAAGCACCCTCGAAGGCGTTGGCACAAGCTTGGGTGCGGAGCGATCGAGAATTGAAAGTGGGTCTATCGCGGGGTGTGCCATCTCTCCGCCTCTTACGGGTCGTCCGGTATATATAGTGCCGCTGAAAATCGTGTTGACACCGGTGGGAAACGTCGATTGTCTCGATCTCTCTTAAGGAGTTAGGATGCCGGTGTCTTCGGTGGGCGAGTAACGTAATGGCGCTGTTGCAAGCCCAGGATTCTGCTGTACAGCGCGCGAGAAGAGTGTGAGAAAATAGCAGAAGGTTAATCTACGCTCCGGAAGAGGTATTAGTTCTTTTGGGTATAGTTAGGCTTAGGGTTATAGGGTCGGTAGACATCATCTACTTGTTTGTTTCTTCGCAATCTTGTTCCCGCGCGGGGGTTGGATGTGTGTGAGGCTGTCTGCCGGCCACGACGGAACCCATGTTGAGGACGCGGCATATTGTTTCAGGCCGAACGGAAAGACAAGCACCGTAGAACTGGGGTCGGGTGTGTCATGCATGGGTCCAACACCAGTTGTGAACGCCGCCCCGACCGAAACTAACCCAAGAACAGCAGTAGAAGGAGAACTGGGTTGTCGCGGGGTGTGTGATGCATGGATCCCAAGAATAACCGTGGAGACCACCCCCACAAAAAATTAACAACAGCTATATAACAACAACAGCAATAATCCCGCCGCTCTCGATTTGCATCCTCGAACCCGCCGCCGGCCGCAGGCGGAGCAGATGGAGGTGAACTTCCGTAAGGAGCAGGGTATCGAGGACTTCAAGCCGTCGGGGGCAAAGGTCAGCTCGGCGGGGGACACCGCAAGGGCGGCGGCGAAGGCGGACCCTTCCAACATGGTCTCGCAGGCGGCGGCGGCGGCGGCGGTGACGGTCAAGTCGACCCCGGAGAGCCGGGCCAAGCTCGTGGAGGAGCTCGAGGGATTGCCGCCGACCTCAAAGGAAGTCATCGAGAAGATGGCGGAGCTCAAGTCGGGAGGCTTGGCACCCAGGTGAAGCGTTTGCATCGTTGCCGTTAGCATCGACCGCGCTAACCGGCTGACCACGTGATCAGAAGTCAGTCTCAGGCCATCGGTCGCGCTAACCGGCTGACCACGTGATCAGAAGTCAGTCTCAGGCCATCGATCGCGCTAACCGGCTGACCAAGTGATCAAAAGTCAGTCTCAGATGAGGGCAATAAATTGGGCAACCCTTGGAATTGGTCACGACTGTGGCACGGCATCCACCACACACACACATACCCTGGATCGCATCGAAACTTAATGCGTGATTCGATAAGCATCACTGGAGAAACAAACGAACCCAACCCGAATCGACCGATTGCCATCTGTTGTCGACCGGAAAAACTGCTTCATTGGTCAGTGCTGTGTAACGCGCCAACAGAGCAGACAGAACGGGTTTACAGTTTTTTTTTTTTTCTCATCCCGGGGAAGGAGGAACGATAGGCGCATTGAAAATCTTGCACCACCTCGTGGATGAAAACTCGAGGATACAGCTGTTGTGTTGCTTCTCATGAAATCTGAGAGTTGGCGATGTTTGTTTACGTGCAAGGTAGTACCATTTTTGTGTTTTCGAAGTTGTGGGGCTGAGAAACACGTTCATATCCCGCCGAAAGGATGTCGCTCCTCAATCTGGGCGTGTGGGCATGAGGCGGGACTAACAGGGGTGGGCGGGGGGGGGGGGGGGGGGGGGGGGGAAGCCCATTGGGAGGGGGGGGAGGGGGTGGGGGGAAAACGGGGCCAAAATTTGAAGGCCTGGGGGCCCCCCTTTCTCCCTGGGGGAAAAATCCCCAATTTGGAAAACCGTTAAATTTTTTCCCAAAATTCCCGGAAAATTTTTTTTTT